AAATAAATAAATAAATATTTTCTTACCTCTGAATCCCAGGTTGCAGAAGAATTGAGGAGGACAAACTGTAGCTGTGTGCTGGCTAATTATGACACCTATTCAACCAAGGTAATGTGGAGGCTTCCTCAAGCATATGCGCCCATTTGATGAAATCATTTTGGGGGAAAAAGTATTCACGCACCCTAGTTATGATTAAAATATAATGAACAGACATACATCATTACTCCTCACCTCACATATCCAGTCTTGTCCCATGACCTGAACTTTGCAAATGTCAAGGGGGGGAATGAGGAGCACCAAAAAGACCAAGCCAGGGAATGAAAGGGAGGAAGGGAAAAAGTGGGGAAGAAAATTGCAGGCGACCCACAAGAGATGTCCAGCACTGAGGGGCATGAAGGGGGAAATGAGCTTTAAAAACTCAGACCGAACCTGGTGCTGGCCATACAATGCCAATGGAGTGACAAGAGATATAAGGAAGCATTTTGTCTCGCCAAGAAAGGCACAGAGAAAACAATAAATAGAAAGGGAGGTGAAGAGAGGCTCCACATGACATTGGGAATTAGACCATATAGGCTAAATGTTAGGCAACAGTGTGACATGGTAGCAAAAAAAGTAAATGCAGTACTAGGTTATATGAACAGAAGCAGAGTATCCAGATCAAGAGAAGGAATAGCTGCACTCTGTTCCATATCTGGAAGAGAGTGTCTAGTTCTGGGCACTACAGCTTAAGAAGGATGTCATAAAGCAGAAATTAATGCAGAGAAGGGCATTCAGGATGATAAAAGGTCTTTAAATGAGGCCTGTGAGAAATGGTTGTGGGAGCTAGCTATATTTTGCCTGGGGAAGTGAGATCATATAATTAAGTTGGAAGGGCCTTTGAAGCCATTGAGTCCAATTCCGTGCTCAATGCAGGAGTACAAATCAAAGGATATCACTCTCCCAGGTGGTTGTCTACATTTCTCTTCAATGCCTCCAGTGTTGGAGCACTCACCACCTCTCAACGTAATTGGTTCCATTAGGAAGTTTTTCCTGAGATTCAACTGGAATCTTTAAGTTGAGCCCATTGTTGTGTGTCCTGCACTTGGGGATGATCGAAAACAGATCCTGCCCCTCCTCTGTATGACAGCCTATCAGGTATTTGAAAAGTGCTGTCATATCTCCCCTCAGTCTTCTACACTTTGCCCCCAGAATAAATTTGGAAGTCATGGTTATGCTGACCATCTCTGAGCCGGAAATGGGTCAGCAAAATTCAAGAGATTGGCAAAGAAACATTGTCTAGAAAAGCCCAGCATCAAAGAGACGCCATTAATACTGTATGGGCCATTAAGAGAGCATGAGATATACATCCAGCAGGTACCAGATAATACTGTAAACCACCCTAGGCTATCGAACATGTGCTGTCAGAGTTTGGAGTGGACCTTTGCTGCCAGAAGGGTGACCAAACAAGAGCCATAAACCAAAAAGGTGAAACAAGGACCAGGTGACTCAGGCAACAGCCAGGATCCTACCGGTGTTTGCGTAAGGCTTGCCTAACTCACCATGGCTGACTGACTTTGCTGTCATTACCAGCAGCAAATTAGGGAGCCCTTACATGAACACCAGTGCCAGTCCAGCCAATGGAGAGATAGGGGCCATGTCCTGTAGATCAAGAGAGGCACCCAACAAGAGATTAATTATTTGAGGAGGTAGAGATTAACTATTATTAAGGAGTAATATTTAACAATATCATCCTGAAAGGAGAACAACCAGGGGAACTGACAACTCCTTACATACGAAGAAGAAATAAAATCAGGGACATGCAAATATATTTTACAGGCGATTGGAAAGAAGGGGGCGGGAACTTTGCTAGTTCCCAGAACTTCTGCCTGTAAGCAAGGAAGATCTTGGTGGCGCTCCTGTAGTAGGTGGACCTCAGGGCGTTTGTTTTGTTAGGCGAAAGAGGTGGATCAAAATAGATGCGTCGTGTGGCCCTAGTTGTGGAGGTGACAATGGCATAATCGGCCATCACACTTGATACCGTTTTCCCTGGGGTCCGATAAATCACATTGACTCTGTGGGCGTTCTGCTCTATCCTAATGACTCTGGCATTAAAATTTACCAGTCCTGGGATTGTACTGTAAATGGCTCTGGGCAGCTGATCCATGCCTCCCACAATTTCATCAAACCTGTGAGGCAAAAACAGGATGGAGGTGAATGGACAGAGTCTGAAAATAGCAGCAGCACAACATAACAACAGGGGAAATAATGGCAGAAGGTAAAACTGTGGTGGCATGCAGTGTTGCAGTGGTGAATTTTTAAGTGCAGATACTCATCCTGAGAGTCCCCATAGCCACATGCTCCACACCTGGAAAATCCCAAAATGGAGGCACTTGTGCTGATCTATGTCAGCAAACCATTTCTAGATGTTTTAATCTTTACTGGAAAGAAGTATTTTGCAGAACTAATGGGACACAATTGCTTGTCCCAGACCAATACACACTGAAACATTTAGGATTATAACAGGGATAAGACATAGCTTAGCAGTTTGGTAAATCCACGCCCACTCAACACCCTCACTAGCAACTATGATTTCAGAGTGACAACAAAGCTGAGGGACTGTCACAGCTGATCAGTAGAAGGAGGATTTTAGTGACATGCCGTTTTTCCCCCTGCAACCTATGTTTAAATTTAAGGGTGGGTTTGAACATGGTAAGAAAGGCCAAATTACACATAAACATGTTTGAACTTGTTCATGGGTTCAAATATAGATTGCAGAGAAAATGTGAAATGTCACAGAAATACTCCCTCTACTAATCAGGAAGTTCCAGATAAGTAGCCAGGTTAATCTACCTAACTGAAGACGGTCTGAAAAAGTAGATTTTGACCCACAAAAATTCACACTGGAATAAATCTGGTAGCCTTCAAATTATCACAGTATTTTGCCTCCTTCTCCTTTAATTTTGCCAGAAATTAAATACTGGAAGCCTTGGTTTCACAACACAATTGTTAGCACCACTGTCTTTAAGAAGGACAACATGGGGCCATTTAAGGTGACGCCAAACACATTTCTGGGACATTTCCCCCTCACCAGGAGGAAGCACGTGGCTCATGAGATTTCTATTGCTGTGTTAAGATATCAGATATGGGCACTGCTCACCTCACTCCGAGATAATCTGGCTATTGATCAGCTTATTTTCAATTATGGGCTCCCACTCCGTTTCTTGTAAGAGGGATTTAGTTCAGGATTCAGGACAAGGCAATTAAAACATATTCAATTGAACAACTCTCCAAAAATAGTTTGTCCCACATGGAGCAGGAACATAAAGGAAAATCCATCAGATAAGGTGAGAGAGAAGAGATTATGAACGAGTAATTGACAAAGGAACTGTTAATAACATCGTTACATTTTACCAGACCTCACACTTCATCCTCATGCTATTTCCTTCAGCGCATGTGGCATGAATGTTTTTCTTGCTGTTCTGAAAGCATTTTGTCTTAGCATTACAGTACAGATAAAGTCATAACTACAAAACCAGTGCAGTCCTGTTAGGTATTTTGAATTATTGTGGAACTACTAATTTGAGGTAAATTTTTGGACTACGATTCCTGGATTCCTCTGCCATGATGTTTGGGGATTCTGGGAGCTGTAATTAAAAAAAGAAGCCTTTGAAGGACTGATGTAGATGTAGCTTTAACTAATCTTTTTTCCAAAACATCTCTTTAAAGTTCACTTTTGGCATTATGTCTGGTTCCTGACCACTGCTTCCCAGATGAGAGGTCATTTATTTCCTTTGCTGCTCTCAACCCTGACTTTATTGTCGTATCTAGCTAGCCATGAAGCTTGGCAGTATATTCCCCAGCAAAATGGATTCTGCCCTCTGGCATCCCAAGAGTCTCACTATAATCTATAAACTGGTAAGGGGTGAAGGTAGTATAGGCACACATAGAGTACTGATCCAGGCTCCATTGCTTTACGACTGCAGAGGGACAGAGATTCCGGATCTCCCATTTGGGCATCTGGTGGACGGCTGCCAGGTCATCCATTATGATATTCACGACATTCTCATCACTGAGAGCCAGGAAGAAACGAGAGTCATCCCCTTGGACGTAGGAAGCCAAGATAACACCAACGCCGCCTGTAAAGTTTTGGGCAAGGTAGTAGATGAATCGGGATGGGCGATCCGTTGTGGATTTCCCACCATAAATACCATCCCGTTCCCAGAACTTCTGTCTGCAAGCAAGGAAGATTTTGGTGGCACTCCTGTAGTAGGTGGACCTCAGGGCGTTTGTTTTGTTAGGCGAAAGAGGTGGATCAAAATAGATGCGTCGCGTGGCCCTGGTTGTGGAGGTGACAATGGCATAATCGGCCATCACACTTGATACCGTTTTCCCTGGGGTCCGATAAATCACATTGACTCTGTGGGCGTTCTGCTCTATCCTGATGACTCTGGCATTGAAATGAACCAGTCCTGGGATTGTACTGTAAATGACTCTGGGCAGCTGATCCATGCCTCCCACAATTTCATCAAACCTGCGAGGCAAAAACAGGCTGGAGGTGAAATGGACAGAGTCTGAAAATAGCAGCAGTAAACATAAGAACATGGAAAATACTGGCAGCAGGAAAAAACTGGCGGCATGCAGTGGTGCAGTAGTAAATTTTTAAGTGCAGATACTCACCATGAGAGTCCCCATAGCCACACGCTCCACTCTTAGAAAATCCCAAAATGGAGGTGTCTGCGCTGATCTATATGAACAAACCATTTCTAGAAGTTCCAGTAATAAGATTACCAGATTTATTTCAATGTTACTTCATTATACAAAGAGATTTTTTTTCACTTCCTCTGACCCTTTACTGAGGAGCACTGAAAGA